GGGTGGATATGGGAAGTGTGCTGAATGGGGGGCTTTCTTCCTTAGAAGCCTCATAAGATTTTCTGGTGTGAACAGTTTGACGTTCTAAAGTCACTGTGGATTCTCTAGTGCCTGGCTCTCGGGTGGTTTTCTGGGAGAGGTGGCAGAGTGTGGTTAGGGCTGCGGTGTGTCCCCAGAGGTGAACTGGGCTGGGTTCAGAACCCAGCTTGCCTGGGATGAGCTGTGTGACAGATCACTGCTCAGGGCCTGTATTTCCATCTGCAAATAGTAAGGTTGTGGGTGATGAGAAGTATGGTCAATGAATCCGAGTAATATCAGACATGCAGGCCTTAAGATCACCCTCATACGGGGAAGAAGGTCACGGGTAAGGAGGGGCACCCAGATCAGACCCCTGAGTTCTGGAGAAATCAGAAAAGTTGCCTGAGGCTCCAACAGAAACAGACTCAGGTGTCCTGACTCCCAGATCTCTCTCTGTCTCTGTCTCTGTTTCTCTCTGTCTCTACTTCTCTCTATCTCTCTGTCTCTGTTTCTCTCTATCTCTGTCCCTCTCTCTGTCTGTTTTTCTGTCTCTATTAAATCCTGGCACACAGTTTGCTCTTACTATTTGAAGCTCCTTCTCTTTAATCCATTTCCTTTTGGGGTTTTTGCTCTTCTTAGAGCCCCTCAGGACCCCTCTGCCCCCACCTGCAACTCTGCTCTAAGATCTTGTTCAAGACTCTACACTTCCCTGAGCTCCCTCTTGGTGAGCAGAGGCAGCCAGGTGTCCGGACCTTCCTGGAGCCCCCCAGTGCCGCGTGGCTGCAGTGGGAGCTGCCAGCCCCCTCTCTGTGCTCCATCCCACCTCCTGCACCGTCGCCTTTTCCATGCCCATTTCTTCAGCTCTGCCCTCCTGAGGCCAGCGAGCTTCCTTCCCACCTGCTCGTTACCACATGCACAGACACAGGAGAGCACATTTCTTCTGACCTTATTTAGAAGCTTGTCCATTTGGATTGTACTTTTCCTTTTTTCTCCCTTTGGTTACCCTAAAAGGAAGTTCAGCTGAATGTCTCAGGGGAGCTGTCCTCTCTCCAGGGCTCTTCAGTTGGCCTGGGAGCCCCCTGCCTGGCCCTGCTAGTAGGGCTTCCCTCCTACATTTCCACTCCCACCCCAACCTCCAAAACCTGAGGTTGTCCAGAATTAGAGTTGAGGGGTCCAGAACATCCACGGACCCTGAACCCTCTTCCCCTCCCTCAGGAGAGCAGAGTTGGCCTCTAGCAACCACACATTTGAAGCAGGGCAGACTCGGGTTGCTTTTTCATGTTACCATCATGGCTTTCCACAGGGGAGACACTTGATCATGACAGTGCCTTTGGCCAGTGCTTCTCAAATTTGAGCTGGCATCAGAATCACTGGTGGGCTTAAGAAAATACAGAGGGCTGGGTGTCTGATTCAGTAAGTCCTGGTTGGCCACCTGAGAATCTGCATTTCTAATACATGCCCAGGCAATGCTGCTGCTGCTGTCAGGGGACCACACTTTGAGAACCCCTTCCTCAGGAGACGTGTCCAGGGCCAAGCCTGTGGGGGAGCTAGTTCAGGACAAGGGCCTTTTGAGATGGTGCTTTCACATCTCCTGAGAGTCTTGTGAATATGTGACTGATTCTGATTCTCTAGGTCTGAATTTTTCACAAATGGTGTTCATGCTGCTGGTCCGCGGACCATACTTTGAGTAGAAAGGATTTAGAAAGTCCTTTTACTAAAGAGGGCTTCTTATTTGGGAGCAAGGAAGAAGTTAGTGTAAAGTTTTGGGTGGATCCTAAATTTTCTAGAGCTAATATTCATCAGAATGTTTTCTTAAATGTCTGTGGTAGGCATAATTCTAAGATGACTACTGCTGATCTGTGGGATATGTGAATAGATGGAACCTCACTCCCATGATTAGGTTACTTTATGCTGCAAGGGTGAAGGAATTCTGTGGAAGTACTTTAGGTTTTCAATCAGTTGACTTGAAGTTAATAAAAAAGATCACGTGTGCTGGGTGGGCCTGACAAAAGCAGGTGAGTATTTAAAAGGATCTGGAGGTCAGAGTCAAGGGTCAGAGGCTCAAAGCAGCAGCAGATGTCATTCTTTCTGTTGGCCTTGAAGAAACAAACTGTCCTTGTGTAGGGAGGGCCTCAGGGCAGGAAACACGGGTGGCGTCTGGGAGCCTCGAGTGGCCTCATCCAGGGAGAAAGTGAGGGCCCAGTCCTGCAGTCACAACAGCCCTGTGAGCTCAGAACAGGAACCCGTGCTCCAGGAAGGAAGACAGCCCAAACGGTACCTTGATTTCATTCTTGTGGGACCCTGAGCAGAGACATCTGACCAGTAGCAATGTGAGCTAACGAATGTGTTGTTTTAAGTGGCTGAGTCTGTGCTGGTGTGTTACACCGCAATAGAAAACGAATGTAAGATCCCGATCCTTCTCTTTGATTGTGGTGCTTGCCCACCAAGGTGTACTGTGGCAATGACCTCAGCAGCTTCATACAACATGGGCTGATCTCTTGCTCATGCCATGGCATCGTCATGGGTTAAATATGTTGGACTATGACAACTCATCAGAGCCTCTTGGGGACCCGGGTCGTTTCCAAAACAGAATTTACGGAGACCAACAGTGGGACTCCTGTTGTTTTGACACAAGTGCTGGGGGTGGGGGTGGAGATTATTCCCATTTATCAGAAGCAGAAGCAGGCATAGTAGGAGTAAGTGGTCGATGGATGCAGGTGGACCTCAGCCTGCTGCCCAGATGGCTTGACTGTGCCGCGCTGCCAACATTGGTGAACAAGGGTTCAGCCTGCACCGCACAGGACAGAGGCTAGCAGGAGAGCACCAGCTGTGAAACCCACAGCCCTGGAAATGGCACTTGTTCTTCCCAGTCACGTGCCCCACCCGACTTTAAGGGTGCAGAGAAGTGAATATTGGTGAATATGGGTGTACCGACTACATAGGGTTACCCAGTTAGCTCGGCTGGGGTGGGAGGGAGGGACGCAGGATTTCAGCTTGCCAAGCTTCACAGAGCTGCTCTCACCAGCAGGGAGCGAGCTGGCTGGGCATCTGACGGCTGAGAGGAGCTGGAGGGGCTGAGAGTGAGAATGGGACACTTGCCCACAGTCCCACGGTAAGCCAAAGGTTTCCTGTAGGACTTTTTGGATCTGGTCTGTAGAAACCCAGCAAGTCTGGGCTATCTTCAAGCTGAAGACTAGATTTTCTTGTGCTGAGGGTGAGAGATTTTCCCATACAGTACAGATAAAAATCCCTTGGGAATTTCAGTCTTTTTTGAGGGGAGGGTGGCTGACTTCTTGTCATTTGGATACCGCGGACACAGGGCTTGGGATAGTTGCCACCCTTGGTGTCCCTCAGAGGACAAGATGGGCACATTTTCCAGAGAGTAGAAGATGATGTTTCAAGGCATACAAAGAAAATCCCATCTGTTTCTACATCTTAACAATTTTGGAAGAAAATATTTCATATATATATATATATATATATATATATATATGGCATGTTGAAAATGGATACTTACTGCAAATTGATGCCAAAAAAAGCACCTTTAAAGCTTTGCCAGTAGGAATCTCATTTGGAGCTAAAGGCCCCTTTCAACTAGGGCAAGGGAATTAAGCCTGCCGCTGCATGTATTGCCGTCTGAGTTGGCTCAAATCTACCTCTCTTGCATTCATTTCGTTTCTTTTGGGTAGATGTTTACTCTTCCAGTTTCTCACCAGCACCTTTTTCTAGCCAGGAAGAAGCCTGAGAAGAAGGGGAAGTTGTGTCCCCAGGGAGTGGTGGGCAGCTGATCCACACGTGCTGACTTGGGGTCTGCACTGGCTTCCGTGGAGATGTCCCTGGACCTTCCCGGTCATGGGGTGTCCTGTTGAATCGACTACTGGGGTCTGTGACTGGGAAAACCCGAGGTCTGGTGCCTCAGCTGAGTCAGAGCCAATGCTCTGTCCAAGGTGGCCCCTCTGCACCTCTTGCCGGCTCCACAGGTTCTCTGCATCTTGGCCATGATCTTGTTTCTTCTGTGGCTTAGACTGTCCAGGTGATACTTAAAATGTTTAGCAACCAGCAGGGCATGAGTACCAACCCGTCAGAAAAGATGCTATGGCACCTGTTGCTGCACCTGAATTGTTCAGAGGAGCACCAGGAAAGCCAAGGTGGCAGAGGGTACCTTGGCGAAGTGGTTATCTACCAACAGGTAGGGCGGTCTTCCCCGACGTGGGCTCACTGTTCCTTGTCGACTGAATACCCTGAAGCCAGTGGCTACAGGTCATCTTGTCTTTCATCATGGCAGCCCCATCTCAGCCGAGATCTCAGTTCACCTTCCATTCTCTCCTGAGAGAGAAGAGGCAGGTCTGAATCTCCCCCATGAGTGACGCATCTCTTTACCTAAGAGCCACACCATTATTTCCACTCTTCGTTAGCGCCCCTTACGCTCACCAAGGTGGAATTCCTCTAGAGATGCAGCTTGGAAGCAGAGCAAAAATTCCTCTACATCCGGCCTCCCTTTCTCTTTTACCTCCTGTCCCTTTGATCCCAGGTTTCAAACCCAGAATAAGAAGCAGGACTGCCTGCCTGATTCCTCTTGTACCTTCCCTCTTTTCACCCTGGAGCCCAAAGGGTCTTTTTCTTCTACTGACACTTCCTACCTGGAAGGAACTTCCCCTGTGTCATGTCCACTTCCTTCCCTCCTTCTGAGGAGGCCTTTGCTCTTCCCCTTTCCTGGGGCCATAGTGGCAGAAGAATACAGGATAGCAAGGAGGAAAACACATTGGGAGTTAACGGCAATATTATCTTCCTTGTGTCTGTGTTGCATGTACTGCCTCATTTTAGAGAAAGAGGGGTTTGAACAAAATTTAAACTGTTCTTTGTGCTTCAAGGAAATCATTAAGAGCATCAGCTATTTTGTGCTTTAATGTCCTGACATTCTCAGTAGGGCGCAGTAACATGGAAGGGACTGTTGGTGTCTGTGCTTAAAGTCCCCACATGGCTGTGTGCTTTGATTCTTGCATCTGCCGTAGTGGTTTTCCTGTCTCCTCTGCTGCTGGGCAATCGGCTTCCGCTTTTTCCAGTGTGCGTTTTCTTCTGTCAGCCTCTCCCTCTTTCCAATTTGCAATCTAGAACCCACTTTTGATAGAGCATTCTGTTCACCTGTTGCCGCATGAAAAACTACCCCAAAACTTGGTGGCTTAAAAATGACAACTATTTTATGGCAACTCCTAGTTTCTGTATGTCACGAATTTGAGGGCTCATCTAGGTGATTCTTCTGCTCCATGTGTCTGATTGAGTTCAAACAGTGATACTTAGCTGGTGACTGGACTCATCTGGAGGGTCCACGATGGCTTCACTCACATGGCTGGTGCCATCGCAGGGTTCCCAGGAGGCTGGGCATAGCTGGGACTGTCAACCAATGCCCTACATGTAGCCTTCCTAATGAGGTGGTCTCAGGGTAGTTGGACCATTTTCATGGGACTGGTTTTCCACGGAAGCCAGGCAGAAGCGAGCACCCCATGGAAACCAGGTGGAGGCTGCATGGACTTTTCTGATCTAGCCCCAGAGTTCACACAGCATCACTTCTGCTGCATCGGATTGGTTACACCAAGTTACAGGCCAGACCACATTCAAGGGAGGTGAGTTAGACTCCACCTCTTGGTGGCAGAGTGACACGGTCACATTCTAGAAGACCATGTGGGATGGGAGATACTGTTGTGGTCACCTCTGGAAAACACAATCTGCTACTCTGAGAAACTGGCCACGCTCATACAAATAAACAGAAAGAGCTTCTGAAGGAAGACTTCAAACCTGCTCCTGTGAGTAAAATATGCTACATGCCTTTGTGCCAGGATCCGATTGGCTGTCTTTCACCTACTCGGGTCTTCCTGTCCGTGCTTCTTCTGTCTTTGTCATATTTTAGGCGGGCATGTTTTCTGGATGACTGATTACTCAAATATTTCAGGTGTTTCCCACACTCAGAGTATAAGGTTGAAAGCAAAATTTGTTTTAAGGGTGTATGTCTGTTACCAACCAACCCCTGCTCCAATGCCAGTAGAGTGTCCAGTTACTGATTAACTTCATCCAGCAGGTAGCCCAAGATAACTAGAAGTCCAGTGCCCAGGAGACCTCAGAAGCCCCGAGTGGCAGCTCTGTCATTGCTGGCCACAGGGCCTTCGGCAAGAGAGTTGACTGGGCTCAGTGGTTGTCTTCTATGACTTGATCCTTTAGAAATTGAAGCTGTATCTACGACTGAGGAGGCCTAAGCTCAAATCCAGATTGACTTAGAGTTCCAGGGTTTTACACCTGCAAGGTACCTGGGAGGTATCACCTGCCCAACATTTGTATTTTAGAGGTGAAGAAACTGTGACTCAGAGATTGAGCAAATGACTTTGTGGTTGCCTAAGATTACATAGTTAGTTAATGGTAAAGTGAAGACAGGAGCCCAATTCCAACCTCCAGTTCTATATGCTTGAAGACTGTGTCACTAAGATAAAAACCTCACAATTGCTGGCAGCCTTGGATATGTATGTATGTGTATGCATGTGTATGTATGTACTTAGAATTGCGTTTTTATATGCTAAACATGCAACATTTCTATTGTGTATTTTATAGAACACTTATATGTTCTATAATATGGATCTATGCATTTGGGCTTATGGATTCTATTAGGTAAAATTGCACACATTTCTAGTATAGTAACTGGTGTTAGCTAAGTTACCAGCTACGCTACTGGTGAGTTCTCAGGCTTGGCTGTGGAAGGGTCCCTTAGCAGGAATTTGGCAGAATGCAGATGGCAGAAGTGCTGATTTCTCATCACGTCTGCCAGCTGTGTCCTTGAGCAAGCTCCTTACCTCCCTGAATACCTGGTTCTGCTTCTGTAAAACATTGATGAGAGCTACTGCTGGTTGAGCACTTTCCTTTTGCAGCACTGCTGAGCTCGTTACATATGATGTGACATCCAATCCTCCTGTAGCGCACACCAGGGTATGCCCATTTCACAGATGAGGAGTCTGAGCCTCACACAGGTAATGTAAACTGCCCACCCCCCTGCGGCTGGCAAGAAGGAAGGCAGGATTTCCATTTCTCTGTCCAGATACACTGTGCTTTTCTGTATAAACCCCCTAACTCTCAAGGTTATTGGAAGGTGTTTGACAGACTTCTTCGACACTGTCCCAGAGGGTAGAATATGACTAATAAATGAAGTTTAGAGGGAGGCAAATTTGGGATCCAAAATGACAGACATTTCTAATTGTGGATACTTCTCAAGACAGGCAGTGAGTATCTTGTGACAGGGTAAGCTTGGCCTTCTATAGAGGATGCTGGGTTTTGGAAGACCATTTGGCTGGGCAGATGGACTTAATGGCTTCTGGAGCCCCCTGCAGCTCCAGGTGTTGATGCTTCTACAGAGCAGAGAAGGAGTGGCAAAACCAATGATTGTGTAGACTCGGGTTTACATCCTACTTTGTCATTCCTTAGTTCTGTGGCCTTGGCAAGTGACTTAATGTACCTGAGTCCATTTCCATTGCTCCAGATTTATAATGGGGATGCTGGGCTCTACCAGACTCCGAGTTTTGTCCTCTGGAGTTGCACAGAGCAGCGCATTCCTCTTACCCAAATGCCAGGCTGGGAGAATTTGAAGCCTGTGGGTTTTCCCTGCAGATGCCCAGGGCCTCATGGGTAGAGCTTCCTCATCAGTCATTTTGGAGCAGAATGGGGACTGTTACAGGTTAGAGGAGTGGTCTTGCTGGGTGTCAGCCTGGGCAGGGTCTAATGCAGGAGGCAGGTGAAGCAAATGTTGGTTGATGGTCCAGGCTGCTGGGGGCTTGGAATGACCTAGGCTCACCGGGAATGGAATGTTGACACAGGATTTGAATGAATGAATCATGAGTTGGATTGGTTGACTGAACTTGACCAACTTCTGTCCACGAACCACTGACTAAGAGACACTTCAGTGGTGGTTTTAGCGAGAAGTGATGTTTGCTGGCAGACAGTATAAAGAGAGTGCTTATGCCTTGGTGAAACTGTCTGTATCAGCTTCTGCAGATTTGCTCCTCTGAGATTCAGCCCAATGTGGCCCAATGCCCTATCATACCAAAGATGGGTCTCCCTGCAGCATGGCCTCCAGGAAGCAGTCTGTCTCACTAGGTCCCACCAGGGACAGGAGACTAGTGTCCAGGACATCACCAGCTGTCATTCTGACACAGCTATGCAAACCAGGAACAGTCTCAGCCTGCTGCTCTGAGGCTGATTCCTTCTCTTGCTTTTTTCTTTCCTGTAGAACAAAAATGGTTTCTAGACAACTCATCTAGGTTTTCTTTCTGAGCCAGTAAACTTTTCAATAAAAGCTGCCTGAAACCTGGTCATGTATTTCTCTATATTTGAGTCCAGAAATTCCACCCTGTCTCCAAACTCTTAAAATTCTGTGATTTCCTAGGACTTAGTTAAAAAATACATTTTATATTGTTTCACCTTTGAATTTATAAAAATTTTCCAGGCTTAGTTTTGATGCAAGTATTTATTTCCTCATGGGTTTCGAGGGATTTATACGACACGCATAAAACATGTTTGGGCTCTTAGGAATTCATTTTACACACTAGAGGTGACTCAGTGGTATGTGTATGGCCTGATAGTTATGTGACTTCATTAACATTCAGCACCTGACACTTTGTTTTTGCTCTTTGAATGACTGTGCCACCTGACTCAGAGATGAGACAGTTGTCTAAAAACTTCTGGGAACAAGGTAAAGGTAGGTGTACAGAAGACTTTAATCTTCTGGGTGAATTCAGTCCAGATATATTTAAATATATTATCAAATAAAGTTGTTACTCCTTCTACATGCTTGAAAATTCCTTCCTGGAGCCATCGTTTACTTACTAGGTTTTCAATCTGTTAAAAAAAAAATGCACTCCTGCATGTATTCTGAAGTATTTAGAGGTGACGTTTGATGATGTCTAAAACTTTCAGGTGTTCAGGAGCAAATAAGCCTGTGTCTGTGTCTGTGTCTGTCTGTGGTGTCCTTGTCAATGTGTATATGCCTGTGTGTGTGAAGAGAGATTGAGAATAAGGCGAATGCAGCAACATATTAACAACTGGAGAATGTAGTGAAATATATACTTGCATTTGTCATAGTATGTTTTCAACTTTTCAGTCTTTTTGTAATTTTAAAAAATTAAATGGAAAGGTGGAATAAACACTTACATCCCTTTAGGCTGTATGTACTGTCTATGACCAGAAGCTGTAGACACCTGGGAATCAAAGGCAGGTAATGGTTACCTGGGCCTCTGTGCGTGCTGCACCACCTGTCCAGCTTGGGGCTGTGTCATGAAATCTTTCTACCTTCCAGAATTCTTTTCCTTCCTCTCACACTTCACACATTTTTGTCTTTTTCTTATGCCTGGTCCTTCTTTTCCTCATATGCCTCTGTTTGCTTATGTTGAATGTGTTGGAAAAAAAAGGAAAGAATTCTAACTCAAATACTTGGAATGAGCTGCCCTTGAAATTTCTTTCTTCCAGTAAGGTCAACTCAGATTCCAGCAGAAATGTCAAGCTCTCTGTGCTTTAAAAACTCATTTAAAGAAAGTAGGGAAGAAGAATAGTGTTTTGCTGCAAAACTAATTTTCTTTTCCCCTCTGGGCCTGCCAAAAATTTACTGTTTCCCACACGATAGCAATTTTGGTTCCAACCTTTTTTTGAGGTTTTGATTATTGAAAACTGTCACTACTATATGTTTGTGGTTTACTTGCCTGCAGCCACTTCCTGGAGAAGTCACAGTAAAGCGGCTCTTTTGCTCAAGTCCAGGGAGAGAAACCAAGGCAATTCCCTTGGCTGGAGATGGGGGTCGGGGTGGATGGGGGTAGCAGTTACTGGAGGAGTACAGCATTTTGGGATTCATTCCACTGGAACAGGGTCCTTGTTGAAACACTTCTCACCCGACCAGCCATGTGATTTGGAGAAGGGAATTAACTTGAAACTCACTTTACCTGTAGAAAGAAGAGACTCGATTAGATTTCTCAGACTCTTCAGCTCCATAGCTCTGTGAATCGTTACATACTGACTGTTCCTGAATGGCACAGCCTGACTTTCTGGTGTTAAAGTTATTTTAAACAAGGTTACAAACCTTCCCATAATTCGAGGCTAAGCCTGAACCTGAGAGAACGTAAGCATGGTGGGGCACTTTCATTTGAGGGGAGGCTGCACATCAGCTCCTGATTTCGAGTTGAAGTGACTTTTAGAGTTAACCAGCAGAAACTGTTTACTTGAAATAGTTGAATATCTATCAGAAAAAAGACTGTGAGAACACAGCACCTGATAGTACCTGACAGGGCTCCTTCCCCTGGGATCTTTTTATAAATTCTGGAAAAACAGTATATTGGGAATAGGCTTGGCTGTGCGTGACAGAAAGTCTAGACGCATAAAAAAGGTAGTCCGGATGGTGGGTGGCTTCATGAAGCCACCAAAAACTCAGGTTCCCCTCTTACTGCCCTACTGCATTCAATGAGTGGTCTGTACCTTGTAGTTCTAGATGGCGGCCACAGTCCAGCCACCACATCCACACTGAGCAGCAGGAAGGAAGATTAGTGGAGACCTCCCTGGGGGAATCACATGACACTTCCACTCACATCTCATTGACCCACATTGTGTCACATGGCCACTGCTTGTTGCAAGGAATGATGGGAAATGTTAATGGATAGAGGGCCATGTGCCCAGGTAAGATTCAGGGGTTCTATTATTGGGGAAGCAGGGGGGACAGATACTGGGAGAAGAAACTAGCAGCATCTGTCATAGGAAGTATATTTTCAAAGAACAAGGGCTTTGGAATCACAGTGCTGGGTTTAAATTTCAATGTCTGCTTACCAGCTGTAAGATCTTGGCCAGGCCTCTTGACGTCTTTGAACTCTTCTAATACATCCTCTGTAGAATCAGCATGGTACTCACTTCGTGGGGATAAAATGCAGGAATGAATGTTCAACATTTGGCACAACAGCTATGGCTATTACACTAGTTCCTATAATGGCAGCTTTGAATTCATTTACTTATGCTGGTATGTGGTATTGGTTAGTCACGGTGTATTTATTTTATTATTATTATTTTTTTGAGACAGAGTTTCGCTCTTGTTACCCAGGCTGGAGTGCAATGGCGCGATCTCGGCTCACTGCAGCCTCCGCCTCCTGGGTTCAGGCAATTCTCCTGCCTCAGCCTCCTGAGTAGTTGGGATTACAGGCACGCGCCACCATGCCCAGCTCATTTTTTGTAGTTTTTTTTTTAGTAGAGACGGGGTTTCACCATGTTGACCAGGATGGTCTCGATCTGTTGACCTCGTGATCCACCCGCCTCGGCCTCCCAAAGTGCTGGGATTACAGGCTTGAGCCACCGCACCCGGCCACCACGGTGTATTTAATTCCCACTTCTTTCATGTCCTTACTGGAGAACTAGTGGGTCTGGCTTGGTCCAGTATAGGTGGGGATGCGACAAGCTAATGAGTGTCTAAGGAGGACACAGCAACTTGGTGGATGTTTATGTGATCTTCATGCTGGCAAACCTGAGAGTGTGGTTAGAGGTAAAGTCACAGGAACTATTCGTGCTTCAGAAAGCCCTGAAGAATAGTATTGTGTAGAAACAGAATTTAAGGGAGAAAGCTCCAGGCCAGATACACAGTTAAGGGAAAGATCTCAGGTCACCAGAAGGGGGAGCTCAGACTGTCACTCCGAGTCCTTGGACTCTGACGATTCCCGACTCAAGAGGGAACGGGGGAGGGTTTCTGGAGTGCGAGGGTTGTGCCCTCAATGCCACCCTGGGTTTACTGCACAGCATTCCCAGAGAAATCTGTGCTGGGAGCAGGGAACAATTCAAGGAAATGGTGGCTGAAAATTTTTCCCCTGGATTCATTCACAACTCCTGCGTGGGTAGACTTTCAGTCACAAATATTCCCTGGTATGTGCTGGTGTGTAAGCCATGAGGGCTGTGAGCAAGACCAGGAGTTGTCACCATCCTTGTGGAGCCAGAAGAGTCAGGCGTGGCAACCGGCATGACTGCTCCCACTTCCCGCCCCGCCGATGGCCGGCCAGCTGGGGCATTGACTTGCTATGGCAGATGGAATGTGGGCAGACAGGAGGGAGCTGGTTCCCAGCGTGGCCTGGTGTGTGCTTTTGCCCGCATTGTTTCCATTTTCGCCTTCCCCAAAGAGGATCATCTCTCAGGAAGCTTACTAGTCCAAGGAGGATGAGACACCCGTGGAACAGACTTGGATCCCATCTGCACCTCAGAGCCAGGTCTAACCCAGCCTAGTTTAGGTGAACCGAATTCCATCTCGCCCACAGACTTCTGGGCAAGAGTGAATGACTGTCGTTTCACACCAGTCTGTCCTGGGGTCGTTGGTTTGTTAAGCATCCTTGTGGCTGTGGTTAGCAGACACAGGGGACGCTTGTGATAGAGTGTGAGAAGGTCATCAGAAAGACAAAGAGGGCACCTGACACTCCAGTCTCTGCGGGTGCTGGGGGAGGAGTGCTTCATTAACTCGTATAGCTACTTCTGTTTTGGATTTCATGTTGCATTTTTCCCTGGGAGGCTGTAGGCCAGAGTGTCAGCAGCACACACAGAATCCCTCAGTGCGTCAGAATTGAATGCCGAGTAGGAGTTAATCCATATAGGATATAGGAAAAATTCTCTGCCAAGTGTAACTATGAGGGTCCTTGGGCTTTGATTCATTTGCTCATTCATTCATTTATTCATTCAAAAAGTAGGAGTTAGGGCTAGAACTGTGAATAAAATAAAGCAGGGCTCCATCAACCAAGAAGTACCTGACAGTCTCAACAATTTAGAAGCTTATTTTGCCAAGATTAAGGACAATGCCCAGGAAAAAAACCACAGAATCATAGTAAAAACAGTCTGTGGTCCATGCCTTTCTCCAAAGATGATTGTGAAGGTTTCAATAGGTAAAGGTTTTCCGCTGTTGAAAAGCGGGCTGGAGGGGAGACAGGGAGGGTGTGGTCATTACTGAATCCACATGCTGCAAGGGAAAAGGAACAGGTAGGGGAATAGACAATTATATCCCTCTCGTGCTGAGTAAATCTGCTCTTTACATAAGATAGGGTGAACATAGAGTAGCTACCTGTGGAGAATTTAAAAAATCTTTTATCAGGAGCTCTCTGCTTAGGAGGAAGAGGAAAGGCAGCTTCTTGCAGGACTCTGAAAACTAAGAGTTTCCGGCTTAATTTTTTCCTTTTGGCAGAGTGAATTGGGGGTCCCAAGTTCTTCTTTTCCTTTCAGAGCCCTTCCATCCGTGGAGCCTGAGTTCTGGATTGGGGAGAGAGGGCTGATATGAATGGCACAGAGAATGACATGGAAGGGGAGGAAAACACGTAGTGCCGGGATTCAAGGTGGTGCAATTTTAGACAGAGAGGTGAGGGAGACCTCACCAAGAAAGTGAAGTCTGAGCAGAGAGGGCACTAGCAGTGGCCTTAGCTGAGGATACAGAATTGCTGGCCAAGGGGCAGGAATGGCAAAGGCAGGCCTCTGCAGAGTCAGCAGCTTAGGGGATGGAGCCTCTCTGCCAAGCACGCCCGTAGGTGCTACAGGGATTCAACTTTAGATGTGTTCAGTGAATGTAGCTGCAGAGAAGCAAATCCAAAAATTCTGAGTTTTCTTCTTAAACAAAGTAGGCACAAAGGTTCCCATCATCCAGTGAAGCCTGCAGACCCTGCTCCTGCCCCATCTTCAAGGGATTTTCAGTTCCTGGTGACACTTCTGTCTTCTCCCCCAGACCACGCGGTGCCGGACCTCATCCTCCTCTTCCTGTGTCCTCTGGAAATTGTCAGGAGCAATGTTCCGCCTGTACGTGTTGGTAATGGGAGTTTCTGCCTTCACCCTTCAGCCTGTGGCGCACACAGGTAAGAAGTAAACCCTTCAGATGCAAAAGGACTCGCCTGCAGCTTTGCTGGGGAAAGCTGTTATCTAGCGAGGTTTTGTTGTCAGAAAGCAAACGGCCAGCCGAGCTCGGTGGCTCCTGGTCTGTAATCTTAGCATTTGAGAACCCTCTGCGGGTGGACCCCTTGAGCCTGGGAGTTTGAGACCACCCTGGGCAGCATAGCAAGACTCATGCCTTAAAAAAAAAAAAAAAATTAGTTGGGCTTGGCGGTGCATGCCGGCAGTCCGAGCTACTTCGGAGGCTGAGGTGAGAGGACCGCTCGAGGCCAGAAGACTGAGGCTGCAGTGAGTGGAGACTGCATCACTCTACTCCAGCAGGGCAACAGGGTGGGGCCCTACCTCAAAAAAATAAAAAAGGAAAAGAAAAGAAAAGAAAAAGCATGGTGTGAATGTGCTTGTCAAGGAGCAGACTGAGGAAGGGATGCGTTTGCCCTTAACAAAGTTGCCTTTGGAGTTTAACCACACAACACGCCAGAACGAAGCTTTTACTGTATGAACTCAGCCCAGATCTACTTTCAATAATGAGAGGTCAACAAATGAAAAATATGGCCATAGTTTTTCATCTTTAATTTTTTGGCACCATAGAAACCTGATTTAGCTTTCTTCACAAACGTAAGTTGGAGTGGATAGTGGCACTGAACTTGCTACTTGGAAATTTTGAAAGTATAATAACGGGGTAGGGAAGGAGTTTAGCAGAACCCCAGGGTGTAGGTCATTTTTTGAGGAACAAATGACATCTTCCTTGAATGTGCTCCAGGTCTCCCTGCCACAATCAGGATCGGTCCCAGGTCCAGGGAGGTTTTATGATCTGCGAAGGGTTTGGACCCGAAGCCTGACCGTGGGCTCTCTGTCTTCAGGGGCTGCCAGGAGCTGCCGGTTTCGCGGGAGACATTACAAGCGGGAGTTCAGGCTGGAAGGGGAGCCTGTGGCCCTGAGGTGCCCCCAGGTGCCCTACTGGCTGTGGGCCTCTGCCAGCCCTCACGTCAACCTGACATGGCATAAAAATGACTCTGCTAGGACGGTCCCAGGAGAAGAAGAGACACGGATGTGGACCCAGGATGGTGCTCTGTGGGTTCTGCCAGCCTTGCAGGGGGACTCTGGCACCTACATCTGCACTACTAGGTAAGCCCCTTGGCGCAGGGCTGGGGAGGCGATCCCGGCAGAGTGGAGCTCGCGAGGTTCTTCAGTCATGATCTGGATCTCAGAATCCAGTGTACAAAATTCAAATCCAGTGAATCCACATTGCGTCCCCCTTGCTGTTTCTGACTTAGCCCCCATCCTACAGTCTCATTCTATCTCCATTTAGTCTTTGCTCAAATGCCACCCCTTTTGAGATAACATCCCTAGCCATTTTAGCTGACACAGCCCTCTGTGACTCTCCTTACCCTGCTGTAGTTTCCTCCATAGCATTTTCCCATCAGACACATCTGTGTGTGTTACCAGATTTAATGTTTATACCCCTTTAGAATGTAAACTCTGCGAGGGCAGGAACTTGGTCTATGCCGTTCACTGCTGGCGCTACATAGTAAGGAACAGAGAAATAGACAGAATAAGATTTTACTCTGAATAGGATTGTAGAGCTGGGTGAAGCCTTATGATTAAATTAGTCCAAGTGCTCATTGTAAGGATGAGGGAACCACCCTGGCTTAGAAAGTTTCCCAGGTGCTGGGTGGTAGAGCCGACACTGGAACCCGAGTCTCTTGACCCTGGGTCCAGTCCTCCTCTCTCTTTGACCTGTTGCTTTGTTCTCCTTTAACTGTAGAAAAATACACATAACACAAAATTTATCATCTTAAACATTTTTTAGCGTACAGATCAGTGGAACCATCACCACTATCCATCTTGAGGACTTTTTCATCCTGCGCAACGGAAACTCTGAACCCAGTAACTCCCTGCTTCCCGTCCCTCCAGCCCCTGGCAACCACCATTCTACTTTCTGACTCTATGATTTTGACTACTCTAGGTACCTCATTTAAGTGCAATCAGTCTCTGTGACTGAATTATTTCACTAGCATAATGTTTTCAAGGTTCGTTCATGTTGTAGCATGTGGCAGAGTTTCTTTTTTTTCCATTTATTTATTTTATTGCATTTTAGGTTTTGGGGTACATGTGAAGAACATGCAAGATTGTTGCATAGGTACACACGTGGCAGTGTGATTTGCTGCCTTCCTCCCCATCACCTATGTCTGGCATTTCTCCCCATGCTGTCTCTCCCCAACTCCCCACCCTCCACCGTCCCTCCCATATTTCCCCCCAACTGACCCCAGTGTGTAGCGCTCCCCTCCCTGTGTTGATGTGTTCTCATTGTTCAACACCCGCCTATGAGTGAGAACATGTGGTGTTTGATCTTCTGCTCTTGTGTCACTTTGCTGAGAATGATGGTTTCCAGGTTCATCCATGTCCCTACAAAGGACACAAACTCATCGTTTTCGATGGCTGCCTAATATTCCATGGTGTATATGTGGCATGTGGCAGAGTTTCTTTCCTTTCTGAGGTGAAATATTATTATTCTGTTCTATGTATGTACCACATTTTGTTTGTCCATTTATCCATCGGGGGACATTTCGTTGGCTTCCACTTTTCAGCTATTGTGAATCCAATATGAACATGGAAATGAAGATGTCTGTTCAAGTCTCTGCTTTCAGTGCTTCTGGGTATAGATCCCAAAGAGGAACTACTGGATCATCTGTTAAGTTTTTACTTCGTTTTGAGGAACTACTACACTGTTTTCCATAGTGGCTGTGCCATTTTACATTCCCACCAATATTGCCAAAATTCAATTTCTCCGCATCCTCACCAACACATGTTATTTTCCAGCATTTTTGATAATAGCCCTTCTAATGAGTGTGAAGGGGTGTCTCATTGTGGCTTTGATTTCCATCTTCCTAATGATTAGTGACACTGAGCATCTTTTTATGTGCTTATTAACCATCTGTGCATCTTCTCTGGAGAAACGTCTACTCAAGCCCTTTGCCCACTTTAAAGACTGGATTTTGCTGCTTGTTGTTGAGATGTAGGAGTTCTTTACATTCCCTGGTTATTAACCTCTTGCCTTATTAGACCTATGATTTAGAAATATTTTCTCCCGTTCTCTAGGTTGCATATTCACTCTTTTCATAGTGTAATTTGTTACACGAAAGGTTTTAATTTTGATCAAATCCGGTTTATTTTTTTCTTTTATTGCTTGTGCTTTTGGTGTGAAGAAACCATTGCCCAATACAATGTCATGAAGATTTTCCCCTTTGTTTTCCTCTAAAAATTTTATAGTTTTAGCTCTTACGTTTTGTTTTTTGATCCATTTTGAGTTAATTTTTGTATATGGTGTTAGGTAAGGGTCTAGCTTCATTCTTTTGCCTGGGGCTATCCAGTCTCTCTAATAGTATTTGCTGAAAAGACTGTCTTTCGCCATTGAATGGTCTTGACATATCCTACTGCTTCTCGATGGATGACGTTTTAGGCCTAGTATTGGTGATCTTAAAAAGTTTCTTGGCTTAGTTCTTCTGAAAGGCTTAGGGACAACCCTCGGCTTGATAAGGAACTAGTGTTTTTGGCCTCTCGCCTCAGCTGCTTCTTCTGTTCCTCCAAAGGCTCTGCTTACTCCTTCTGCCAGCTGGTTTCAGAGTCTCCAGATTTCATGAAATCATTTGATTTAAGAAGAATGGTACCCAGGAATATGTACATTTAGAAAAAGAAGAGATAAATTATATTCTTAGCACAAAGGAATTACTGGTGAATGGAAAAATTTCAGACCACATCGGCCCCAGTCCTAAGCTGGGTGTATGTATGTCAGGGGGTGTTGGGGGTGGGAGGAGATACGAGGTGGAGGGTGCCCTCTAGGTGTGTGTGTGTTTGTGTGTGTGTGTGTGTGCATGTGTGTGTGCATGTGCATGTGTGCATGTGTGAAATTGAGAATCTTTTCAAATCAAACCCAGCTTGACACTACCATCCATATGCCTAGCCCCAACTACAAGCAATTCAGGGACAGTTTTGATCCTGTCAATGAAGCTTGCCTAAGAAACAGGCAAACTATCTTCCATTCTTATGCCAGGAAAGTGTGGATGTCTGATTTTACAATAGCTATAAATGCATGTTTCTTCTTCCTTTTTCATGGTAAAATTTCTCATTTTCTCTAAGGAGCGCTACTAGGAAAACTTCACAGCGTAGTAAGAAAAAATGGAACCCAGAGTCGGAAAGACAGATGGGAATTTAGCTCTCTCACTTCCTATCTGTTAAGACCTTGGGCTTATCACTTGACTTTTATGGGTGTTAGTTTTCTCCCCTGTAAGGAAGTTTGTTGAGAGGGTTATGTGAGATCACAGCATGTGAAGGAGCTGGTATGGGGTGTGCTGTGGTAGGTGGTCAACACATGCATAAAAATTTCCTCTCCTTCCCAAAAGGCAGTCTACATGACTACTGAAGTGAGACTGTTCAAAAATCAGGGAGATGTGAGCTGAGTCTTGTTTGTCTTAAAGTTTGTTTTCATGCTCAGTTTTTGTAGGAAAAGAAAGAGCTGAGATATAGGGGCAGTGGAAATCCCAGTGTGTGCCAAACTTTCTTTTCATGATGGGATGGTTTACCTGGATGACCTCTAATAATACTCTGTCGACTGTAAGATTGGGGTTCTGAGAGAGTGAGAATCACCAGCATTTGCCATAATACTCTTTAGCATTGATGGTCATGAGGCAGGAGACTGCCTTATTCCTGTGACTGTTTAAAATCTTGTGACCTAGAACCCACATGGTGAGTCAGAGTAGGCAAGGATGCAAGCCATCAGAGAGGTCAGGATTTGAGCAGTGGCTGCCTGGGTCTCCTTGCTTGGCGCCCTGCAAATAAATGCCTTACTTTCTACCACTGAAAAGAGAAAGAAAGAGAAAGAAAGAACCAAAGAATAAAAGAAAGAAGGAAAGAAGGAAAGAAAGAAGAAAGAAAGAAAGAAAGGAAAGAAAGAAAGAGAAAGAAAGGAAGGAAGGAAGAAAAAGAAAGGAAGAAAAAAGAAAGAAAAAGAAAGAAAGAGAGAAAGGAAGGAAGGAAGGAAAGAAAAAGAAAAAGAGTAGGCAGGCAAGGTTATGCTGCTGTAACAAACAGCTCCCAAATCTCAGTGGCTTAAAATAAAAAAGACCTCTTTCTAACACATGCAACAGGTCCATTGTGAGTTTGCAGACACTCAGGGACTCAGGCTGAAGGAGCAGTCATTGTCACTAAAAATGTTATTGATTAGTTGCTAGAGCAGAAGGAAGCATGCTTTGGAGGGTCTCTCATGGCTGTTACAGCTTTCATGTAGAAGGGCTACACATACAACTCTTGAGCTAGGAAGAGTCATATAACTACACCCACCCACAGTGGGGATGAGCACATGTGATACGCCATGTGCTCAGGATGGGAAGAACTGGGCCTATTTGGTGAGCAGCACTACTAATGACTATCATGCGTTTGCCATGGGTGTGTCACGCTACATGGGGAATGCAAGTGGTGATCAAATTACCCCTCACCACTCCTCTCTTCCTTTGAGTTATTTTCATGAGGTTTCTTGCTCAAGGGGAATTACCAGATCAATAATGTGAACAGCCTTGTAACTTTCAATATGTCTACTAAGCTTGTTTCTAAAGATAGTGTCCTGATTTATGGGTTTTCCCAGAGCCTTGCTGGGCTTCCCATTTTGGTTTGACCTCTTTGTAGCTGTACAGCCCACTTCATTTCTGTACACCTAACTTTTTTTCATATAAAAATGATATAATAGTAATTCCTACTTCATGGGGTTGGACTATAAGTGAAATAATGTGTGCAAAGTACACAGCACAGGGCCTGGCCTGCATCTGCTCCCTGCTGGCTACTGCTGTGTGACTGTTACTCAAGTAGTCCCTGGTCTTTAGATTTGTCCGTTTTTACCTTTATTCAACTTGCAGTGAGATTATGCGTTTTTCAAGGTGAGAGTTAACATCTTGCATTTCTTTATGCATAAAATATAATATTTGTTCATCTATTTACATTTTTTAAGCTAAACATAATACAGATATTGGCCACATATATTTAAATTAATTCTTTTACTTTGGGGTGATAAGCTTTTATTACTTTTCTTTCACTTTTTTTTAAAAACATTTTGTTACTTTTTTGAATATGGATGGTTTAGATTTTGCTGTGCAAGTAATTTTTATTCCTATATGTAAAACACATCCTCATTGTCTCTGTCAAAGTCTCTGATGTCTTAGGTAGCCAGAAATTTAGCTGAGATAATTAAATTTTTATATTTTTCTTCTTAAAAAATATAGTTCTAATTACTGTCTTCTCTCCTCCATCCATTTCCCCCAAATTTTCAGCAAGGTTTTGCCTCTCCCCTTTTGCCAGCTCTAAGGTCTTGATAGAATTATGGCATTGAAATAATGGTTAGGCTAGTAAAATAATAATAAAATAATAATAATAAGCAAACTTACCAAGTTAATTTCCCATGCAGTATTGCAAAAATCTTTTATGGGTCTTACACTAAGTTTCCAGCAGTTTTCTAAAATTAGACTTCAGTTGATAATTCCTCAAAGGAGCAAAGGGAATATTCCTTTTCACAGAAACAGTGGCTCTTGGGAAGCAGTCTCTCCATGTGGATGTGGTTTCCTGGATCATGAAGTTGGAGTATGTGGGGGCTGGGCTCAAGGAGCTCCAGAACCTGGAACCCTTAAGCTTTTTTGAAGAGGACTTGGGGATTTCTTAATGAACTTTGGTGGCATTAGAAATGAGCTTGTAGACAGTCGTTCGTGAAAAACATGGAACACGCCTTTTCTGTATAATTGTGTTATGACACTTGTCGTCTCACAAGGGTTCAAAAAGATCAGGAACAGAAGTATTGCAATATAGATGCTCCCTGACTCACAATGGGGTAAATACCAATAAACTCATTGTAAGTTGGAAATACTGTTGTGAGAAATGTACTTGATACACTTAACTTACCAAACATCATTGCTTAGCCCAGCCTTCCTTCAATGGGCTGAGAAAGCTTACATTAGCCTATAGCTGGGCAAAGTCATCTAATACAAAGTCTATTTTGTAATAAAGCATTGAATATCTCATGTAATTTATTGAATACTTCACTGAAGTAGGGTTTCTACTAAATGCTTATTGTGTTTGCAGCATTGTAAAGTCAAAAAATCCTAAGTTGAACCGTCTTATGTCGGGAAACCATCTATACTAATCCAGAAAATGCAGATGCAGATTTTAATAGAATTGGGGAAATGATTCTTAATTTCATTTAGCTTTACTTTTATTTTGGCTTGCAATTCATTTTTTTTTTTTCCTTTTAAATCAGAAATGCCTCTTACTGTGACAAAATGTCCATTGAGCTCAGGGTTTTTGAGGATACAGATGCTTCCCTGCCGTTCATCTCATACCCGCAAATTTTAACCTTGTCAGCCTCTGGGGTATTAGTGTGCCCTGACCTGAGTGAATTCATCCGTAACAAAACTGACGTGAAGATTCAATGGTACAAGGTATGGCTTTAAAAAATGCTGTTTTATTAAAATGTGTTTTCTTTTTTTTACTAGCCATAAAGGAAAGACATAAAATATTGATTTTCTGAAGACAGTGTGCACACACACAAACACACACACACACACACACACACACATACATATGGTTTGCCATTGGTATCTATGAGTTCCACATCTCAGGATTCGACCAACCTCGGATTGAAAATATAAACAAATAACAAACAAAATAACAATACAATAAACATAATACAAATAAAAAAACCCAATACTGTGTAACAACTACAGTCTCGTGCTGCATAACAATGTTTCCGTCAACAATGTGTGTACAATGGCGGTGTCGTAAGATTGTAATGGAGCTGAAAAATTCCTATTGCCTAGCTGTCTTCACATCGTAGTGCAAAACGTTACCTTTTCTATGTTTAGGTATGTTCATATGTACAACAGCTGACTACTGTGTTCCAATTGCCTACAATATTCAGAACAGAAACATGCTATACAGTTGTCGCCTAGGAGCAACAGGCTGTACCATGTCACCAAGGTGTGTAGTGGGTTCTACCATCTAGGTCTGTGCAAGTACACTTTAGGACGTTCACAAAATGAAGAAATCACTTAACCTGTTTCTCAGAGTTAGCCCCATTGTTAAGTGACACAGGACTGTATTTATATATGCCATTTACATTGTATTAGTAATCTACAAATAATCTAGGGATGATTTAAAGTATAAGAGAGGATGCCCATAGGTCATATGCAAAGACAACACCATTTTATACAAACACCTTAAGCATCTGTGTTTTGGTACCTGTGGGGGATGTTTCCTGAAGCCAATCCCCCAGATACTGAGGGATGATTGTATTTTAAAGAATTTTAAAGAGCCATAATTAATATGTTCTATTAGTCCTTATGTGGCTTGGGTAAAGATGCTTGAAATAGTGATTTGTGAAGACAGAGTACATAATAGCTGAAGGAAATAATTTTTTATTTTATTTGTCTATAAGAATGTAGAAAAAAGTTTATATAACAATTTTATAGACATATTAAAGGAGTTTTTTAAAAAAGCACATGACGGTCAGGCTCAGTGGCTCATACCTGTAATCCCAGCAATGTGGGAGGCTGAGGCAGGTGGAACACCTGAGGTCAGGAGTTTGAGACCACCTTGGCCAACATGTCGAAACCCTGTCTCTACTGAAAATACAAACATTAGCCAGGCATGGTGGTGGGCACCAATAATCCCAGTGACTCCAGAGGCTCAGGCAGGAGAATCACTTGAGCCCAGGAGGCAGAGGTTGCAGTGAGCCAAGATCGCGCCATTACACTTCAGCCTTGGTGACAGAGCGAGACTCCATCTCAAGAACAACAACAAAAAGCACATGACAACAAACCTTTGGGTTAAGGGAGTAAATATGAACACAGTTTGTTCCCTTTTCTGGTTGAATACATGTTATTTGATGTGTTCATTGCTCCTAGTGAGAACATCAGGTATTGCTTAGGTAGATCAGGGGCCGGAAAACTATGGCTGGGCCCTGGAATCAAGTCGTCTCCTGAATTTGAATGGCTCACAAGCCAAGGATAGTTGTCACTTTTTAAAATGTTTGAAAAAAGTAAAAGAAGAATATTTTATGATGTGAAAATCACATAAAATTAAAATTTCAGGGCCTGTAAATTAAGTTTCCCTGGACACGGTCACGTCTTCTGTCTAGGTACTGTCTGTAGCTGCTTCTGCACTGCTTAGCTGTGACGGAGACCCTGAAGACTGCAGGGCTCAAAATACTTCCTTTCTGGCCCTTTCCTGAAAATGTTGGTCAACTCCTGATAGAGACCCTAGACGATACTGAAAAGTACAGTTATTAGCTTAATCATTGATGGGAATTAACTCTTTAATCAACAATAGGTTAACAGGTTAAGTAGTTGGCTGGTATTGTAACTATGGGATCTCTATCTAGGATATCGATTTAATATTGTAAACTTTGAAATCATTTCCTGAAAGTAGAAGAAAGTAGCTCCTATAAATAAGCTGGCTGAACTCTAGAATGTGCGCTCTCTCTCTCTCTCTCTCTCTCTCTTTCTTTTTAAATAGAGATGGGGTCTTACCATGTTGGCCAGTCTGGTCTTGAAGTCCTGGGTTCAAGTGATCCTCCCCACTGAGCTTCCCAAAGTGCTGGGATTACAGGCGCGAGCCACCAAGCCCACTGGAGAGCGCATTCTCTTTTGATTTGGAAAAAGCATAAAGGGGACAAATCAAAGGTTTTACCTGGAGAGGAAAGAGCACAGGCTCTGGCATCAATGGGTCCAGGTTTGAAACTCTCTTCCTTTTCTGGCCTGTTGTGTAGCCTTGGCCGAGTGACGCTACCTCTCGAACCTGTTTCCTCTGTAAAGTGGCAATTAGTAACTCCCCCCACGTGGGATTGTTTCAAAGACTAAATGGAATGATGCGTAGGAAGCACCCGGCGCAGCGCTTGACATATAAATGGTGTGCAATAAATGTGCAAGGACAAAGATGTCATGGTGGTGCTTAGTAATATTTATTCCTTTCATAATAATGCTACATATTACTGAGCATGTACTATATCCAAGCCTGTTCTGAACTCCCTTATGTGCAATCCAATGAAGCAGGAACTGTAAATATCTGCCCCCTACGCCTTTTTTTTTTTTTTTTTTTAACAGATAAGGACCCATAAGGAATGTTCCCAAGGTCACACAGCTAGTAGATGGTGAAGTAAAAACTAACCCAGGAGGCCAATTCCCATATACTACTGGAATGACTGTGTGTTGGGCCTTATTTGGCATTTTTCATATTTGACTACTCATGCTTAGAACAATGAAATCTCCCCTTTTAATTAAATATGTTCTAAAGTGGTATCTATCGTGAGCCATGTGGCAATTTCAATTTTCTTTGTGTTCTCATTAGAGTAAGTCTCTGAAGTGACTCAAGGTTACATTTGACTACTGCAAACTTCGAATAATCATGATTTTGAAAGCGATGTCTCTGAGAACATTGTGTGCTCATTAGGGTGTTTTTAGACATCCCATTCAGCTCTTTCTATTTCCTGGAGGCCTTACTCTTGAGGATTGTATTCTGCAGAGACCCCAGAGAACCTTCTGTCCATATAAAAAGTGTGGACTCATTTCCCCTATTTAGTTTTTCTTAGAAATTTTTCTCTTACTGACTCACAAAATCAAAATGCTTTTTAATTACTGCAACATCATCTCTTCTGAGCATTGTTGTCCAGCTCATGATGACTGTTTAATAGTGCTCTTCCCAGATACTTCCTGAGGCCTGAAGGTAGCAGTCAGGACATAAATACATTTGTATTTTGGATGGGTTACTTTGTCAAAGAAGAGTTAGTCTCTTTTATTTCCCATGGGGCCTAGACAGATATGCTCTAACTATTGTATTTAAGCAAATCTAGCACTTTTATTGGTTTTATATGTTAACAAATTTCCTCCCCAAAAGTACAGTTAAAAGTATGCCTAAAATACAAAACTGGCAAAGTAAATACCAGGGCAATTCTTGGATTGCAAATCCATCACTGGTTGATAATGATGATGTAATTCACAGCCGTTGAGATGTATATTGGTATAACGTAAACTTAAAAAATGTTTTCCCTCAAGGATTCTCTTCTTTTGGATGAAGACAATGAGAAATTTCTCAGTGTGAGGGGGACCACTCACTTACTCGTGCACGATGTGGCCCTGGAAGATGCGGGCTATTACCGCTGTGTCCTAACATTTGCCCACGAAGGCCAGCAATACAACATCACTAGGAGTATCGAGCTACGCATCAAGAGTAAGTACTTGCCATTGAGGCACCGACCTATCCCGGTTCAGTAACAAGCATGCAGAGAACAAATGAGGGTGCATGTAGAATTCCTTGCAGGTCTTTGGAATAAAGGATAGGGGAAGACAGATCCGTCAACTCTCCTGAAGCATCAGGGTAACAAGACATGTGTGATACTTTGAAAGGTATCAATCAGGGTGTTATTTGGAGGAAAGGTGAATGAATTGGGCAGGTTACAGGGGCAAGATGAAGGCTAAAACACACCACGTGAGAGGGCCAAATGGTGGCTTCCTTGGAATGTCCCCTTGGAAAGTCTCCTGTGGAAGCTTTGCACCTACAGGGCTAGAATTCCCCTTATGCCATAACTTTATGTATAATTCTAGGATACTTAGATTTTTATTGGGTATTCTAACCAGAAGTCTATGCCTTGCATGTCCAGTGGAAATCACTTTTTATTTGTTTTCCCTAAGGTGGATCTAGCTGCCCTTAATAGCAATATTTCAAATAGAGCTGCCATTGACTAAAAGGAATTACGTTTGAGTGAACAGTATTGGCTAGTGGTTCACATTTGTTCAACATTTACTCCCTCCCCACTGTGTGCCGGACATGGAGCCAGGTGTGACGACGTGTAAATCCTGGACTTTGCCTTGGAGAGCGGGCCACTTTGTTTTTTATAGCGAGTAACGAACACAACTAGGATCTTTTAAGAGGATTTCAGAGAGCTTTGGAGACGCACTAAGTTTAAAAATCGGTCTATGAGGGCAAAAGAAATATTTTTCTCACGGAGAATGCAGAGATTCAGTTTCACCGCGGTCTTTCATGGACTGAAGTGTCCCGATTGTGTTTGCTGTACAGTCCCGTGAGGATTCGTTCATACCAGCTCCTTGCTCCCGGGCAGGCCAGTGCCTGAGCCTTCCGGTGGACCGGCACGGTCCTGTCCCTGCGATACTGCGCAGGGACACTAGGGGGCAGCCGCCCTACATGCCTTCCCGTGTTGTGATCCTCCCGGGATCTCAGTGGCTCTCAAGGGGTGGCCTTGCGCCAGCCGCGCCTCATCACCTGGGTACTCAACAGCCGTGCAAATCTCGGGTCCCGTGCAGACCTATGATTGAAACTGGGGCTGAGGGCTGCCATTTGTGTCTACAAGCCCCCAGGTGGTGCTGGGGACCCTTAAGTCTAAGAAGCCCTGAGGTGCTGGGGGCTTCTTTCTATCCCTGGATGCCCCAGCTCCATAGGGCCGCACGTGACTTGGAGGGGAGGAAAAGGCATCTGGCTTTGGTGGAGAAGCTGTTTGCCCCTCGGGCTGTGCTGCGATACTGTTTAATGTGTACCCATGTCAGGATTTCAAAATGCTGTTTAGTGGAAATGAGGATGATGAGGCCGGTCGTGGAGACAACTCACAGCCCTCACCCCCCAGGTGTCCTTTTTGCTCATTTCAGGTGCCTCATTTCTTTACGCTGGCTCTAATCCTTTGGAGATCCACTTCTGCCCCTCTAGAGTTTCTCTCTTCAATTAACAAGACCTCCGTGGCCGAGGCCAGGTTACACACTAGTTTTCCAAACAGGCTGTTCCCGAGCCCTGTGCCTTTTCTAAAGTGAATCTTCAGCATTTTGTGGCAGGCACTTTGGAGAGGTGGAGAAGATATTTTAGGACAGATTGAGTTTCGGGGAGAATCTATCTCGTGGACCTCATAAATATAACTCTTAAGATTGTGTTCAGGAAGTCTGGGAGGGGAATGGTTAATTGTTTATCACAGAGCAAGGAGCAAAGACCTTCTGTCAGCGGAATGTGTGTTTAGCTGTGGCCTCTTCCAGTAATCTCTCTGCTGGGAAAGGCATTGGCTGAGGATGCTCGATTTTGTAGAGAGCCTGTTTCCTTTGCCAGACAAAGGCTGACTCTCATAATGACTGGCCATACTGGAAAGGATAACCCAGTTAATTAGCCAAACAATGGGGCTTAACTACAGCTTCAAATGAAGGCTTTCCTAACGGAATCTCTTTTCCTTACATCTTTCTCAGGAAAACAAGAGGAGACCATTCCTGTGATTATTTCCCCCCTCAGGACCATATCGGCTTCCCTGGGTAAGGCCAGCAAGGACCATGCAGGGGGCTTGGGACCCTCATGTCTGCTGACCGTACCTGCCCCTTGGTGCAGTGCTTGGGTGGAGACCTTAGCGCTCCAGTGTGTGAGGCTGGAATAACAAATGTGAGGGAATATTTCCCTTTGGCCAGTTTGATTAGAAATGGCATAATCTGAAAACAGGTATACTTCGCCTCATGCAGAGCCCACCTGCAAAAATCTGAATGTGAAAATCTGAACGTTCTGCAGCAGTTATTAACTGCATGAGAAGATAAACAGCATGAAGCCCAGGGACAGCCAGCATCCTCGGTGCATTTAAAATAATTCATGTCACCAAAACCTGGCTGGTGCTCTGCATCTCTCTAAGACTCCATTTGTAAAGCGGGCTCAGCAGTGATCAGTTTCTTGTTGCCAGAAGAGCTGGTAAGCTGGTTGAATGGTGCTATGAAAATGACCACTGGGGCTTCCTGCTTTTCACGCCATGTGGTGCAGTGCATCCTGGCCAGCACAGGTCCACACTGGTGGCCAGTGAGGGTATGTAAGTGTGCTGTACTAACAACCTTCTGATGCTAGTGGTGGGAAGGAATTGATGCTATTGAGCATCTACTGTGTCCAGTGGGATCTCATTCAATCTCAATGTAGGAGGTTTTATTTCTTACATTTTTCACAGGGAAAAAGCCACCCAGGGCATCATGGTGGCTCAGTGGAGGCCAGAAGGCCACCCTCAGAGTCAGGCTGGAGTTCAGATTCAGGTCTGTGGGCCTATAAAGCCTGCACCCTTTTATGTGTTTGCTTCTGGGTAATGTTTTTGTAGGTCTGATACTCATTTATGAAACCCTGGCTGCAGAGTCTTTTTAAAAACAATTTCTTTGCTTTTTCCTTTTGTTTAGTGTTGGTTTAAATTTTAAATTTAAGGCCATAGAGGAGGAGGACGTTTGTGCAGTTGCTGGGACTGCTGGCTGGCCCTTGGGTTGCCACTGCTACAGTGCAGTCCCCATAGCTGCAGCTCTGGGAGCAACCACCTGGAAATCTGGGGCAGTGGGCACCCTGGGAGATGTCTACCGGAGCCCCCATGTTCTGGCTCCCTTCTCAGCCACGTTCTCACGCCCAGTTCCCAGTCAGTTGCTTTGAATGCACTGGAGTGGGTGATGGGGCCACATGACAACGATTAATAGGTTGTTATGGCTCAGGAAGATCTTTAAGGTCCTGGGAGTGGCACAGGATGGAGGAGGGATGGCATCCTGAACCCGTGGTGGAGCCAGGTGCATTAAAAGACGTACGACAGGGAGGCACGTTACCCACGAGAAAAAACCAGTGAGAAGGATTTCTTTCTTCTTTTCCTTCTACTCTTCTTTGGTGAATGAAAAAGAAAAATAATTTCCTATGATTGAGGCAGGGGGACCCAGTACATCACATTGCACAACTGCAGAGCATACTGTCTACAGAAAATACAGAGCTTTTGAGAAGGGTTGATCCTCAGTCAGAGCCATCTGGGAACGGACAGTTTCCAGGAGAATCATTAGAGCCAAGACCAGCCTCAGGGAAAGAGACAGAATCCACACATGATCTGGATTTTCTGAGGTAATTGAAGTGAGTGGCCGTGACTTGAATTCAGAATGTCCCCTGGGAGCTCAGGGGCCTTGGTGAAACTGTTGAACTTCAGGTGCCTCTTGGTTTTCGCCTGCCGTGAAGACCAGTTGTAGGAACCGGAGGCACATCGTAAATAGTAAAGGTCTATGTGAACAGAATCATTTGAGAAAGCTAAATTTTCTTCTAAGGAAAGAATTGGCTGGTGAGGGGTGTTTGAGAAGCTGAGGAGGGACTCAGGGCTCAGGTTTGCTGATGGGTGGGAGGGGCTGGTTCTGTGGTTGATGTACTGTGCCTTGTTGTCCACAGGGTCAAGACTGACAATCCCGTGTAAAGTGTTTCTGGGAACCGGCACGCCCTCAACCACCATGCTGTGGTGGACAGCCAATGACACCCACATAGAGAGCGCCTACCAGGGAGGCCGCGTGACCGAGGGGCCACGCCAGTAAGTGGGCCAGGGTCTTCTGTTGTGAGACCTCTGTGGGTTTTGTGCTTCCTTTTGCAGAGAGTTATCACTATGACCCACATACTGCATTAAAAGTAACTTTTTTTGATTCCAAACTGTTGAATGTTTAGGATTAAAAAAATGGAGTTTTGCTAAAAATTATCTTGAGAACCAAACTTTCTCTGTAAGTACTTAAAAGTTGAGTTGCAGTTGACCTGTTGGTATTGATATTGCATTTTGTAGCTGTTTAGTTAAACACTGACCCTTCGATTTTTGCAAGTTAAAACTATTTTGGAGTTAATATCTCTCCCTTTTCCACTCTGCAACCTGACAAACATTTTCAGAAACCCTTAAAAGGACCCTGAGACCTAGCCACAGTATCTATAGTGCCTCTTCTATTTCTCAGGGAACTGTGGGCTGCCACACTCTCTAAGCAAGGCTAATAAAGGAAAGAAAGAATTCAGTTCTCATAAGCAGTGATCTCTAGAAAATCTTTTCTCACTCTGAGACTAGAACAATCAGACTTTGTAGATGGGAACTCTTTGCCTATGAGGGAGACCATTCAGCATTCCAAATTGTAAAGTATTTTAAAAATTACAGTTTTGATACTTTGAATTCGCCTGAGCTTTTGCTGCCAGATGGTTGTGTTTTTTTGAAAGACTTATCACAAAAGATGTTTCTGGTTGTAATTTAGTGGATAAAAACTATGTGTGGTTGGCACAATCATGTGCTTGCAAGTTCTCGTTGTGAAAGACTTGGCCACAACCAAATGCCCATCTCAGCTTACTCATACGATCCATTTACTTAAAGGAACCTGTGTTCTCTCTAAAAATAAAACAAAAATATTCCTAGTGGATCCACTCATCCATGCTTTTATTCATACTAACAGACAGTAGTGAGGTGTCTACACATTCCTCTAACACTATGAATGGCAGCCATCCTGGCCAGAGCCATTCGCCTGGACTGTCTGCAGGTTTCCAGAGTGAGAGTCAGCAGTAGAGATGACAAGAGGAGGCACCACTGAGGGCTGGAGTCCTGGAAACTCCCTGCCCTTCAATATGCAAGTGATTTAATGTTGAGAGAGTCAAGTTTCCTCAAACTAGATGTTTCTGTTCCCACGACTGGTTTTCTTTGTTCATTAAGGGACTTGAAGATGAACTTCCCCATTATCTAACCCTCTAGTGTACCAAGTGTTTGATTCCAGTGACGGCCATCTTCAGTGACATTCAGGCCTTCAGGAACAGGCTTAGAAACTGTCCCAAATGAATAACAAGTGTGGTGGCAAGTGCTCCTAACTTTATGAAACTTTAAAACAATAAAAGCACAATGGGTACTTCTCATGGAGAGCGTTTGGATGTCTCTGTTGTAAACGAGAAGCTTGCGTTTGATACATCATATTTAAGTGAATGTTTTGTAACTCAGGGAATATTCAGAAAATAATGAGAACTACATTGAAGTGCCATTGATTTTTGATCCTGTTACAAGAGAGGATTTGAACATGGATTTTAAATGTGTTGTCCGTAATACCCTGGGTTTTCAGACACTACGCACCACAGTCAAAGAAGGTATGTATGTATTTTGGGGAGCACTAAAGGAGAATATAACATGTTGAATGTTCCATGGATACGAGACAAAGCTACTCATTCTTCACATGATTCCGTAGAAATTCCCTTGCATTGCCTGCTAGTGGAAAGCTGAAAAGAAACCTCCCATTTTTTAAAGATTTTTGATAGGGTGGAGGCTGGACTTTGGGATATTATGCTCAAATGAAAAATTTAAATAGCAAGATGACTTTTGGAAAACATGAAATGGTTCTACAGTAAACTTTGAAATACTCTGCATGTAGCTCTGCCTTGGGTCACTGATCACCTGTCTTCGCATGACCTTTAGGGGAGGGTGGATTGTTCTTTATCTTGAAGATGAGAAGCTTCACCTCTAAGAGCTGGGGATTGGGAGCTATCCAGGGTTCAGGGCAGCTCCACAGTCAAAGTCATTATATGACAGGAAATAGGTACAAGGCCACAGTCAAATCAACCCAGTGTTCATTTAAGGACATTTTAAAAGAAGAGGAGGAAAACCCACATGATCACTTTTGATTAACTTGATTTCATGCCAATGTTTAATTGTTGAGCGGAAGGAAGAGGTGCCTTGAATGTAGCCTCTGTTGACGGCCCGAAGCTAACGGCAGGCAAGCCAAAGTGATTCCCAACTGAAATCTCAGTGATGCCTTCTTGGGCAATCCTACAGCAATAACACAAATACAAACTGCTCCACGTCTCCGTGTTTTGCTGGGGAGGCAGCCACAGACACAGTGTAAACTGGAAAGCCAATAATGTGTTCCAGCCTCAGGGCAGGGAATGGCACCCAGCGCATTTCCTCCAACTGTGCTCCGTGCACCAGCAGCCTCACACTCAGCTGAGCCCTGGTTACAAGCGCAGATCTCCACCCTGTCAGATTCTCCTAGGGAGAGGCTAAAGTCTGTGGACTCAACAAACTCCTTTGACAGTGAAGTCTGAGAACTAGGGCACACATGTGAAGGGTGGTGTTTCAGATAATTTCCAGACAAGCAGGCTGGGAGAGAGATGGTGGTTGTATGCATTTAGTAATGAAGGATGCCACAAAAATCAGAATGTACCCTCTAGGGGTTAGATTACTGAGCCCAAGGCACCTGTGGTTTTGTCTGGCCCTGATTTTAAAGGCTGGGAGCCTTTAAACTTTTCCATAACATGAGCACCCTGCATGTAGCTGGCCACGACTTATCTAGGGAGCAGAGGCTGAAAGCCTTTCAACAAGATTCAGAGGTAGATTCAAACAGCTGCCCAGAAAATTACAGCTGAACTTACTTCTAATCTTTGTGGGATTTTAAGATGTGAGAAGCCTCTGGAGCAACAGGGTGAGGTTGTGTTGATTCCTGGATGACTAAACAGACTGTGGCGAATAATAGCTTTAAAATGCAGATTTCTGGTCTCATCAACAATGTGTCTGATAGCATTCTGTTCTCATATTTGCTTTTTAACTTCTTATTCAGCGTCTCTTCCTGTATTTCCATAACACAGAGATGCCAAGGAGCAGAACATAAAATAGCTGGACCCAAGCAATTCTGTTGGCCCCTACGGCTCCATTATTCAAAATTTATTTTTCTTTGCTGCTTTCTTTGATCCTCCTGACACCCATGCTCATTGGAAAAGGGCAAATTGTTCCTGGCTCTGTCACAGTTGGCAACTGAGACGTAAACAGACAGGATCTTAAACCCACAGTGTTCCACTTTCGGAACAAAGTTAAACCCTCAGCACTTGGCTACCTACCCTATGAGGTTTCTAACAGATGCCCTATCTTGCTTGTTTCTCTAACGCCACAGACATCATTCTCAAATATCCTCCATCTTGGTGTGAGGGACGTGCTTTCTGGAAATCAATGAACGTTTATCAAGAAAGCAAACTCCAGTTTCTTTCTTGTCTGTACACCTGCATTGCCCTGTCCTCTTGTGCAGTGAGAGACTGTTCAGCCCCTGACGTGACTCTGTTCTTCCCACAGCCTCCTCCACATTCTCCTGGGGCATTGTGCTGGCCCCACTTTCACTGGCCTTCTTGGTTTTGGGGGGATTATGGATGCACAGACGGTGCAAACACGGAACTGGAAAAGCAGATGGTCTGACTGCGCTACGGCCTTGCATCATGACTTTCAATCCTATCCCAATTAAAATAAACAGAATGAAATAATTCAAACACAAACTCCATATGTCTTCTCCTATGGGAGTGGCTGTGTCTTTTTGAGGGACTCTGTTCTTTGCCTCAGTTGTCTACCAAAGGTGCCGCATTTATAGTGGGTTTGTAGTAAAGCAATAAAATCTTACATTTTTTTTTTTTTCTAAAAATGAATGACAAGAGTAACTGTGCCTGTGAGTGGGTGTGACTCTGCTACTTGTGACCTATTTAACAGAATGAGGTCCCCTTAGGCCTGCATGAGAGTGGAAAACATCCACATGAGTTTGACATTCATTCAACATAAACATATTACGAGTCTATTTTGACTAGACTCTATGGGAGGTGTTGTTGTAGATACAGTGATGGTTAAGACCTAGTTTGCCTTTCAGGAAGCTGGATGTTCATTTTGAGGCTGAAAGGGCTTTCCAAAAAATAGCAACTAAAATCTCGTGGATTGTTAGAAAAAGATACACATTAGAATGTATTAGTGAACTGAGAATTAGACCCAACTTTATAACAACAAGTTTGAAAATAGAAGGAAGGGCATTGAGATAATTGTAGACAAATTGAAAAAAATGTAACAGAGCCTCTTTCATATCACATACCAAAAATAAAATCCAGAGAAATAAATGAGTTCAATTAAAAAAAACAAAACAAAATAAACCCTGTAATGGCAGGAAAATCAGCACGGCTGGCGACTCTGCCTTTCAGGTCTCTGTTCAAATGTGACCTTTCCAGAGGCCTATCTAAAGTGGCACTCCCTTCCTTCCTCTCTGTCCCCTCACCCTGCTTTGTATCCTTGTAGCTTTTATCACCGCCAGATCTTCCAGTACAGATTTGCTTATTTTCAATTTGTGTTTCCCACCCAAATGGAAGATCCATGAGGGCAAGAGATTATTTTGGTCCTCGCTGTATTCCCAGTGCCTCAAAGCAGGCATATAATAAATATTTGTAGAAGAAATGAAGACGGGATGAACTCTCTCTTGTTCATTACCAATAGCCTTGCAAGAGTAAAAGTGAGTAGGCTTAATTACATTATAATTTCTACACAATAAAATAACAAAAGCCAGTTTTAGATGAAATTGTGTCAGACAAGTTCAAGGAATGAATAACTATCACATAAAGTTGTAGGAAAGGCACGTGTCTTAATCTGTCTGGGCCGCTACAACCAAAAACCATAACTTGGGCAGCTTGTAAACAAGAGAAATGTGTTTCTCACAGTTTTGGAGGCTGAGAAGTCCCACATCAAGGTGCCAGCAGATTTGGTGTCTGGTGAGGCCCCACTTTCTGGCTGATAGATGGCTGTCTTCATGACTTACTTACCTCCCAAGTGCCACAACTCCTAATACCATGTTATAGTGGGGATTAGGGTTTCAACATATTAATTTTGGGTGGACAGAAACATTCAATCTATAGTAGCGTCATTACCCTAACAGATGAAAAAATGTGATTAGGGGATTGCAGAAGAGACACACTTAAAGGAACTCATGGAAAAATGACACTTTCAGGAAGAACCAGGGAATGTAAATTAGAGCAAATTTGAGATACCAGTGCACTCACACACGAGCAAGTGTTTTAACAGTTTTTATGAAACACTTCTTACACCTGTAATTCCATTTATAATTTGGTACTGGGAAGAAGAAAGGCAACATGAACCAAGTAAGTTGGGTGCTGGGACCAACTTGCATCTTCTTGCGAGAGCCCAGGATGTGCATCCCTTCTTGGCTCTGTTCAGTGATGTCATGTTGGTAGCGTATCATTGGTGGCCATTGTGGAGTATTTACACCACGGAAATTGGCAGTTGCCACAAATCAGCACAGTCCTCTCCAGCATATCACAACGAGGTTTGAGAGATGCTCAATGATGCTATTCCTGGGAATTTAGCTTAGAAAATAATTTTATAAAGAAAATCATTAGATATATAAGAATTTAATAAAACTTTTTACCCTGATGATGAAAAATTATATAGCAATTATCAATTATAATGATAAATATTTTAATGATCAAATTATCAAGATTGTGAGACTTCAATATTTACAATATTAAGGAAATTTTTTTTTTTTTTTTTTTGAGACAGAGTCTCACTCCGTCACCAGGCACCAGGCTGGAGTGCAGTGGCACCACCTCGGCTCACTGCAACCTCCACCTCCTGGGTTCAAACAATTCTCCTGCCTCAGTCTCCCAAGTAGCTGGGACTACAGGCACATACCACCACGGCCAGCTAATTTATAAATTATTTTGTACAATTTTTGTGGTTACAATATTGACATTTGTTTGCATCTAAACAAGGAGAAAACTTAAAAACATGGACTTTGAAGACAGACTTTGTAAGTTCAAGTTCAAGCACTGCCACAGAGTGCCTCTGTGGTCTTGGGCAAATCCTTTAATCTCACAGTACATCAATTTTCTCATCTGAAAAATAGAAATAATCACATTAATTAGCTTAGCTATTTAGCTATATTTTATATTTCCATTTTTCTATTTTTCTATTTCAACTATAGTAACTGTTTAATAAGCAAAACATAGGAAGGATAGACAGAAATAAAAATGGTTATACTTAGACTATGTGCTGACAAACTACAGCCTGTGTGTCAAATGCAGCCTGCCCTCTGTCTCTGTGAATTAAGAGTATTAGGAAACAGCCTTCCCTGTTTGTTTGCAGATTATCTTCAGCTGCTTTTGCTCTTTGAAGATAGAGTTGAATAGTTGAGACCGCAAAACCTAGAATATTTACTTTCTGGTCAATTACAGGAAAAATTTGCCAACCCCTGGTTTAGGTGAAGGAGGTTTTGGGCAGTTTTTGACCTTTACTTTTCTGTTTTCCTATTGTCATCTCCTCTTCCCTTTTTCTCCCGTTTTCTAAGTATTCAAGGAGGGAGAAGTATGGAGGGCCTGGGAGAGGCCTTTGAACACCTTGTTAGATTTTAACAATGAAAGGAGAGGAGAGCGAGGTTTGAGAAGGAGGATTTGGTGAGGACATTGCACAGGGAGCTTTGGATACTTCTGACTTTTCTTTATCTTCAGGCTTGGGGCCACACGGCTTGCACCTCTCTTCCTCCCTTGGACATTTTCAGTGCTCTTTGGAGTCACCCACTTTAGAGTCTGGCAGCTTCAGCAATGACCCAGAAAATGAGCTGACTGCAGCCAGAGGAGAGCCACCACCCGCTTTCAGACTCTGCCGTGACCTCACAGGTTACGCATTTCCTCCCCGCCGCTATTTCAGAAGCGTAGGGTCATGCTGGCAGAAAAGATGTGAGATGATCAGGGAGTTTGGAGGGCTGGGTTTATGCTATTATTAAGGAATAGGCATGCTATTTGCATTGCTACATTAAAAAAAGGTTATTATCTAAGTGGCAAACTAAATTTTTTATGGATGATGTCTGAGATTTGCTTCAAAATTATCCAGTGGTGTGTGGCAGAATAGATGAAATAAGACTGGCCAAATGTTAGTAATTGCTGATCCTGGTGACGGCTGCACCCTGCTTCCTTATATCATTCTCTCTACTTTTGTATATGTTTGAAAAAGTCCATAATAAAGAGTAAAATACAGAGCAGAAACAACTCAATACCTGCTAGACAAGAGAATGAGTGGCTTTCATGAGTGGTAAAATGAACTATGATGAAAAACAACATGAAACAATATGGGTGAATCTTGGATATACATTACTGAATAAGTTTCAGAAACATTTTTTAGAATAATGTTTTCGTTTTATATAAAGTGAAAAACAACTAAAATTAACATGCTCTCTCTCGTATGTGTGAAAGCATATATACTCACACACGTGTTTAAAATGTAGTTTTTGTATATATATGCTCTTAAGTATAAATGTGTGTGTGTGTGTGTGTGTGTGTGTGTGTGTGTGTGTGTGTGTTTGGATAGTGATCACATCAGCGTTGGGATGGGTTAGGAAAACATAAGCTTCATTAAGTTCTGGATCTCATGTTGGATAGTAGATTGTTTAATTTATTATTAAACAAACAGATAAAAAAAAAACCCAAGCTATTCAGGGACCAGTGAAGAATCTGTGTCTTGAACTGAGGATTATGACTAACCTAATTCTGTGTCCCTGAATCCAAACTGAACACACAAACAGATGGCCAAATGAAACAAAGTGGTTTCTTTTCTTAAAGTGGCCGATCTCCTCTATCTTATGTTGATTCTATTGTTTTAACTTTCTGAAGGTGATTTCTTTCACCCCCAACCCTACAAAAGCTGAGGAAGGGGGCAGTAAACAGTGTTTGGACACCTCACACTTCCATGCACTGCCCACAGGGAAAACACACGTCTTATGTATTAAGTGCCACTTCCTCAAGAACTAAGGATATGAGCAGACATCAACAACAGAAGCCGAGAATAATTTATGCACTAAAAACTAAATGTCATCTGTCAAGTATTTCGAATGCTATGAGAATATATAGGGACTCTTCCACAGAAAGAGCAGGATGTGTGTTTCTTGTAAGTTTCTCAAGGCAGGAGCCTTCTAGCTCCTTGATGCAGCCCAGCACCCAGCACTGTGTCTTGCTGCGGCTTAGGCGTTGAAGTGTCTGCAGAATGGATGCAGTGTGTGTTACTTGGATTTTCCCAGCTGTGTGAGCAAGTGGGTCCCATCAGTGGAACTCAGCTAAGTTTCTCTGCTCTCATTGTTTTTTTCCATGACGTCCTGCTAATAGTTCACTTGGTCACACAAAGGTCCCTCGTGTTTTGTGGTTGTTTTCCTGTTCTTCTGGTTCTCACCCATTGGCATCTTTGCCTATGCCACCCTTCATGGCTACTTGTTACTGCTACTGGGCTCCAAGAAGGCACTGCTACCCTACAGATGGCACTGCTTGGGGGTGCCAGTGGATAAACCATCCAGATGCCCCCTGGGCTGTAGTGTCTGCCAGCTTCGGTGCCTGGAGCCAGCCTGTGTACTCCTGGAATCTTCTCCTCCCTTGGCTCATGGGGTCAGCCAGTCCCCGAAGCAGGGGTGGTAGGCTAGAAGCCCCCTCCCACAGAGCTCAAGCACCAGCATGTTCTCCTCCTCCTGGCATGCCTGCAAAACCCACTTCCTCATTCTTCTTCAGACAAGCAAAGCAAAACAAAGGCTCCTACAAAGAAACTCCA